AGCCCTTATGTTGTCCACGAATATACCTAGCCATTTTTGGGGAGATGCAGCTCTTTCTTCATCATACCTAATAAATAGAATGCCTTCCAAAACACTCAACCTAAACACACCTCACCAAACCCTCTTGTCCTTTTATCCTTCGACTAAACTCATCACAAATCTCCCACCAAATATTTTTGGATGTATTGCATTTGTACATGATCAAAAACCAAATCCCAACAAGCTGGACCCAAAAGCCATCAAATGTATATTTTTGGGATACTCTCATACCAAGAAAGGATATAAATGTTATTGTCCTCAGAAAAGATGAATCTATCACACTTTAGATGTCATATTTTATGAAGGGATGTCATATTTTATGAAGGGAATGCCTTTTATTCCAAGGTTGTCATTCAGGGGGAGAAAGTGACAATTGATGAACACCAACAAATGGGAAATTATTATACCAAAATATGTCTCGCAATCTGTCCTAGAAACCGTTACAAAAAATATACCTGAATCTGTCCCAGAAATTGTTCCAGAAAATGTACCCGAATCTCTCCCAGAAACTGTTCCAGACATTGTACCAAAATCTGTCCCGCAAGAGTATGTCCTAAAATCTAACCCACTAAAACGTGGCTCAACCACTAAAAATTCAGAATATGCCCAAATAATAGTTGAACCTGAATTGGACCGGCAAGCAACCACTCTTGATGTTACCAAGACAACAAATGAAAGAAAAGAAGTACAAGTATACACAAGGAAGAAAAACAAGCTTCAAACTCTTAAGGAAGTAGAAACATGCACTCTTCCGAAGCAGAATCGAGGCTCTGTCCAAAATTCAGATTCTGAACCTACTCACAAAGGTAAATTACTATGGATTAACTCATCTTATAATTTATTGGATAATGACGCTTATGACCAGAACTTAAACTTACCTATTTCCATAAGAAAGGGAGTGAGGTCTTGTACCAAACATCCAATTGGGAACCATGTTTCTAGTGAAAAATTGTCCCAGGAGTACAAGAATTTCATCAACTCAGTGGATAACACCCACATTCCTTAAAATTTCCATGAAGCTATCCTAGTTCCAGAGTGGAAGGCTACGATTGTGGAAGAAATTAAGGCACTAAAAAAGAATGGTACACGGCAGCTCTGCCACCTTCCAGATGGAAAGAAGCCAGTTGGATGCAAATGGATATTCTCGGTGAAATATAATATGGACGGGAGTGTGAACTGGTATAAAGCTCGATTGGTGGCAAAAGGATTCACTCAGTCTTATGGGGTGGATTATGAAGAGACCTTTGCACCTGTAGCAAAATTAAACTTAGTTTGTGTTCTTCTTTCCTTGGCAGTAAATTTGGATTGGCCGCTTCATCAGTTAGATATAAAAAACGCTTTCATAAATGGTGAACTTGAAGAAGATGTTTACATGAGAGTACCACATGGGCTTGAGACATCAGAAAACTCAGGCAAGGTATGTAATCTCAAAAGAACTATACGGGCTCAAGCAACCCCCACGGGCTTGGTATGATAGGCTTCCACGAGTGGTTAGGATGCATGGTTTCACTCAATGCCAAACAGACCACACAATATTCTTAAAGCATTCAGAGGAAGGCAAGGTAACTATCTTCATTGTTTACATAGACGACATTATTATTACAGGTCATAACTATACTGGAATTGAAGGGTTAAAATTGTTACTGGCTAAGGAATTTGAAGTTAAAGATCTTGGTCAATTAAGGTATTTTCTTGGAATGGAAGTGGCACGATCAAAATTTGGAATTTATGTCTCAAAGGAAATATACTCTTGATTTACTTCAAGAAACGGGGATGTTAGGATGACGACCAGCAGAAACTCCTATGGAATCTAATGCGAAAATAGGAGAGAGAAAAGAGAGTCCACCAATTGATAAAGAGATGTATCAAAGACTGGTTGGCAGACTTATCTACCTAACCCATACACAGCCAGACATTGGTTTTTCTGTCAGCATGGCTAGCCGCTACATGAACAATCCCAAAGAGACTCACGTGAAAGCAGTTAGCCGTATTCTACAGTATCTAAAAAAGGCACCAGGGAAGGGGCTGTATTTCAAAAAGGACACAAGCAGGAAAATAGAAATATTCACAGATGCAGATTGGGCTGGATCAGTAACTAATAGAAGATCAACCAGTGGGTATTGCTCATTTGTATGGGGCAACTTAGTGACATGGAGAAGCAAGAAACAAATCTGTAGTTGCAAGAAGCAGTGCTGAAGCAAAATTTAGGTCAATGGCTCATGGAATTTGTGAAGGGATATGGCTCCAAAGGCTGCTTGCGGAACTACAAGTTTATACTTACCATGAAGCAATTGATAGACATTTTATCAAGGAGAAGATTGACAACAAATTAATTTCTCTTCAGCACACACCATAAAGTCATCAAATAGCTAATATCTTAACCAAGACACTTCCTAGAACTAACTATGAAAACTTAAGATTCACGTAGGGCATGATAGACATCTATGACCCAACTTGAGGGGGAGTGTTGGTTGCTGATCTGAAACCATTAAGGCACAGATATGCAGCCATTAATAAGGGACAACAATGCAGATTTTATAGCTGTATTATATGAATACATTTATACTTATTTACACGGCCATATAGTATATTTCCATTCTTGTATATAGGGATTAATTTGAGTTAATTAGGACTTAATTCGTTTCTTTAATTACTTATACTCCCTAAGTTATATATATCATATTCTATCATGTACAAACAAAATAAGAAATACAAAGTTTCTACAAAGGTAACAACCATGCATGCAAAAAACTCAAGCACAAGCAAAAGCAAATATATACAAATATTCACAAATATACAAATATACAAGCAAGCGAACATATAACAAACACAGATACAAACAAGGTGGGTTTAACCGTCTTAGGAATCATACGTACCCCAGTGAAGTCGCCATTTCTGTTGCAGTGAGAATCAGATATCAAACTATTAATTAACTTGAATCACAAATCATGAAGTTCACCACTGAGCTTTAATTTATCCAAAGGAAAGGATAAAGATCGAAGAAAAACCCTAAGCGTACTATGTAACGACACAGCTAGAGATCTAAGGTTCGGGGGCTGATTATACCTAGGGAAGGTGTTAACATCCTAAGTATCTGTAGTACTCTACAGGAACCTCTTATTAGTATTTTTGTTATGCTAAAATTGCTTGCTAAGGGAACTGATGCTAAGGTAAAAACCTAGGGTATGTACACTAAGTATGATCGCCAAGACATCGTATCTCGTGCCTATGTATCCTAACTATGATGGAATTAGAGCAACCGTAGTTCACCTAACTAGGGGGGAGGAACTCTTGATAACGATCAAGGTTCCAAAGGGGAGTAAGTATCCATAACCATGATACTTACACAGAGTTAACCAACTCTCTAAATCTAAGTTGAAAATCTAACTAAAGTTGACTTTGACCAAAGTCACAGGGAAAAGTGAGTATCCATAACCATGATACTCACATAGAGTTTACCAACTCCAAACCTAATTCTAAGTCGCAAGACCAATTGGTTCTAACCAGACCAAAATGAGGGAGCTAAGTGTTAGTTGTTAGTAGATAGAGGGCTCGACAAGATATCGCATCTTGTGCCTACGTATCCTGACTAGGATGAAATCAGAGTCTCCGTAGTTCGGCATACTAAGGTTGAGGAACTCTTGATAACGATCAAGGTTTCAGAGGGGAAGGTAAGTATTCATAACAATGACATTTACAAGGAGTGCGACGACTCTAAACCTAAACTAGGTTATAACCAGCAAGACTCTCACAAGGTCTCGGGAGAAAGATGGACAAGGTTAATCCTAAACATGACATGACAATCAACTATAGTACCATTTTCTTTGGAATGAGGTAAGAGCAACTAAGGGGCAAATAAATGAACCTCGAGTCTCAATTGTAAGAGGAATAACAATATACTTAACAGGACAACAACTTAAAAGTTTAGGTCAAAACAAAAGCATATATCAAGCATCATACAAATGAACTAATCAAAGAAATTCAAAATAAATGGCTAACCAAACCTAGAATAAAAGCCCCCTTTTTTTTCTTCGAAATTTTAACATTTGAGAAATATACAATTTTTGAATTTTTTAGACATTTAACAAATAAATTCTAAACTAATTAAAATAAGAAATAAACTAAATCAAAATCTAAATACTTAAACCCTAAACATATAAATACTTGAAAGCAAATAAACTAACTAATCTAAACAAACACTATTAATTATAACCAAAATATTAAATCTTAAATAAACAAAGCTAAATATCTAATTAAAAAAAACTAACTAAATGCAGTGTTGTTTATTATACATCAGTTTATTATTACAATACAATGTTGTTTATACATCCGTTTATTATTAGAATGCAATGCTGTTATGATACATCAGTGTTCAAAGTAATACTGTCGGCATGTTATGTAGTGCTGTTATGATACATCAGTGTTCAAAGTAATAATTAATGATAAAAATCTCGATTAAATTTTTTTATTGGTGCCACTTCAGCGGTTCTCACCAATACCCGTGTAGAGGGACGAATATCCCACTAATTACATTTAGTTGATAGATGAAATATATTTCAAAGGATATAAATTGTTTTTCTATTTAGTTTTTTATTTCTAAATTTTTATTCCTCACTTATTTCTCTTTTTTACAACTTTTCTCCCGAGCTAAATACACTGCATTGACTTCAATCACAAACTAAAGTAAATACACTGTATTGTCCAAAAACGTGTCACAATTTCAAACTCAGATATTAATCTTCTACATCTCCACGAACTGAAGTAAAGCCCTTCATCAAACAAAGAACTGGAAGAAGAGAAAAAAGAAGGTAAAAACACCTATATGTTTCGTTTATCCGCTAGAAATTTGCAGTGCATAATGTTTTTGATATAGAGCATGAATCTCTTTACTATGCTTCTGAACAAGGAAACTAATCAAGTTATTTATGGAGAGGGAATGTACCCAGGCTCCCCCTTTTAACATGCAAATCTTCCATGTTCTGATCTTTGACAAGTAAGCAAAGTAATCAACCCTTTTTTTCTTCTTCTGTTTGTTTAGCTGGGCTTGTCATAAAAATTTGTACTTGACGATGTTATGGGTTTTGTTAGGGTTTTGAAGAAGAAAGCTAGTTATCTTTGTGAGAGGGAAGCAAAGGACACTAAATCACAAACCGCCAAAATATTTCATATTCTCCCAGCTGGGTTTTGTTTATGTTTGTTTTATTGTTTTATTTTGTTTCGTCATAAAAACTTGTACTTGATATTCTATGTTTGTTGCAAAAAGAGGTTGTTTCGACCAACCCAGGGCGATTATCTACAGCTAAAGATGATGCACACACTATGGAGATCATCCTGACCATTAATCACGCTCTGATCATGCGTCATGATTCATCCATCAGATTTATGTTCCTGTCTCCTTATAATCCAAGGACACGCAGTAAGAGCCTATAGAACCATATATGTCCAACTAATATGATTGTTTTTATGTAACTCTCAGCATTCGAATAAGTGTTTACGCAAAGTTAAATTAACTGATATCATTTGTTAGGTTCTAGCTCTACCGATTGTGAATATCTAGTCGATGATGATTTAAGTGTATGTTGTTTACAAGCAGTTTGATACACTGATGATATCTGCACTTTCAATTCCAATAAATGAATACAAAAGCTGTTATTTTTATACTCTAAGTGAAATCTGATGTTTGGCTGGCTGGCTGGCAGTAGTATACCCTATATGCTTACATAAAAGTTGGAACAAATCGATTAGTTCAATACAATTCTTTTGTTGCAAGGTGAGTTCTTATCCATGTTGTTTCATCTTCTATATTTGCGTTGAAATTCAATTGTTGCCAGATTGGATTTTTGGTTATTAAATTTAGTGAAGCCAATGTCTTTGTGCTGATTGTTGTCATCAGAATAATATATGTTTTGGGTCAAGATGAAACTAATCCGTTCCTGTTATTTTCATGTCAATGTTTGGACGAATGTTGTACGATACCGGATCATATAACTGTGTTAGTTTAGCTTCGGGGCAGAATTTACGTAGTCTTCAGCTTATCGTAGACCCAACCATTAGGATTCAATGAGTGCTGTCTTTGTTCTAAAGACTTTCAAGTGACAGGCTATGGTATTTATTCATTGTAGAGGGTAGAAAAAGTAGAGGTTAAGTAAGTATCTGACTAATGTCCCACATCTTTTAATGCGTAAAAGAAATTAAGCAGCTCAGATATAAAATGAAAAGATCTCTGGCAATGCTAGCCACGGAGCTGTGTGATGATGACATAGCGAACTATTCTTTCGCCTTTTACTAAAGAATACCGTGTCAGCGTCACAATTAGCAGCATACGCTAGTTTTTGGAAGAGTTCTCTTCACTGAGGGCTCTGCAATGTTAGTTCAACTTTATTTAGGATTTCTTACTATTGTTAATTACTTTTTTAGTTTAATTCTTTTTTATTTTTTCTATAAAATTATTAGCTTTGTAGTATTATGAAATAATAGCATTAACCTCATAGTTGTACTTATAGTTTAATTAACACTCTAATGAGAACACATCTGCAAATGGTGTATATTTAGTCACAGATTGGATCGTTGCGATGAACCCATTTGCAAAAGAGATGACTGATGAGTTCTCTTAATTGAGGGCTCTGCAACATTCGTTCAAGTTTATGTTTGAATGTTTTGATTTTTGGTATTTCTCACTTTTTTTTATAGTTTTGTAAATGATGTTGTATTGATTCAGAGATTGGAAAACATGATCAAACTCATCATTGCGATGAACCCATAGGCCAATCAATCCAATGAAGTAAATGAACCTAGTAGAATGTAAACTCATTTGCAAAGGAGATGACTGATGTTGCATTAAAATTCAAATCCATAGTTCCTATCTAGTATAAATGAATAATGACAATATGAGCTAGAAAATACAAACACACCCAGCGTAGCAACCAAATGGATGTGATCAATGTACTCTTAAGAACTAACATATTTAAAAGTATTTAGTTCTCATTCAGATTTGTTCAAATGTACCCCACTAAAAATTCATTCCGTAGAAGACATCTCCTATGGATGAGGATGAAAATGGTATAATTATGGCGAACTAATAAAATTACAAGAAACCTTCCTTACAACATGTTGCTTCAAAGAATCTGTTCTCTCAAACATGTAGAGTCCAGAGTCCATTTTACCAAACCCAATCGTCTTGTATGGCACATCTTGTTATCAGAAGAACATCTTGTGAAGACTTGCTTAAAACAAAAGATGGAACAGATCATTGGCTCATATATAGCTCTTCTTTTGAAAGGTGAGTTATTATTCATGTGCTGTTTTTACGTTGAAATTCAATTGTTGCTAGATTGGGATAGGGGCCAAGTGAGTGGGTATCAGACTCAAGTCCAACATAGTCTACTTCATAAAAGAAACTATACTGCTTACATATAAAATGAAAGGACCTCTATCTTTGTTTGATACGGAGCCGTGTGATGATGACATAGCGAATTATTCTTTCGCCTTTTACTAAAGAATACCGTGTCAGCGTCACATTTAGCGGCATACGCTAGTTTTTGGAAGAGTCCTCTTTATTGAGGGCTCTCCAATTTTAGTTCAAGTTTATGTTTGTTTGTTTTATTGATGTTTTTTTGATCTATTAGTCACTAACTGGAATTTTGATTAGGGATTAATTTGTGGTTTGATACGCAAATATGTGGTTAAGTGTTTCATCTTCAAAAGCCATAATTGGATAACTCATCTGCCCCCTGGCTACTATTAATTCTGTAATAATATTTGTAATTTGTTTCTGAGTTCTCTACTTCAAAACAATTAACCACATCTTTCATCAATTGAAAGCCAGTTTCATCTTTCATCGGTGTTTGGTGAGATAGATTGAGAGTACTGTTTGTTTCATCTTTCATTGGTGTTTGGTGATTAGTATTTCCGAATAAATGCCTACTATTTGTAGTGCGTGCATAACTTGTTGACTTGTGTCAGTAAACTAAGTTAAAGCATCTCTGTCTTCAACAGATTGTTTTATCTGCTATAGCCACTATAGATTTTGATCTGTATTGAATGACAAATTGCAAACATAACAAACTCACACCATCTAATACCCAAAATGAACACATTTGTCATTTTGTGGCTGGATTAGAAGGATGTAAATTTCAACAACTTTGGTACTGGTTTGGTGACTGGGCTATTTTATTACTGTAATGTTATTTTTTGCTGTACAATATTTTCTTGTCTTAGTTTTTGAACAAGTGAGATTTCTTTCTCTCAACTTTATTCTTTGCGGTTCAATATTTGCTTGTCTTAGTTGTTAGATTTGTTTATGGACAAGAATGATGAGTGAGAAACTCACAGTAAAATTTCCTAGTTCCACACTGCTAATGAGAGATATTAGATGACTTTGAAGTTATTTATAAACGGAAGTTTGTTTAATTTTATAACTATCTTTGCGCTTGGGGCAATGACGCAGCTAGTGAGGTTCTAACCGAGGCGCGTCTATTGCTGGTTGAAAACTATTTCCAAACCCCCTCTTAGGCTTGGGTTCAACTCAAGCCTTTGAGAATTTTTGGAAGGACTCCCTTTGGGGGTAAAGTCCTACAAATTTAGTTCAATATTTGTATTTATTTTAGTATTATATTATATATGTTATTATTTATATTTATTCTTAAGAGTTCATTAAACTTTAGTCTCTTAATAGGTTCCCCAAACTCTGATATTTTTATTACTTTGCATAAAAGTAGAAAAGCCCAGTTATCATCAAACCAGTACCAAAGTTCTCATCCAGCCACAATGACAATATTCAACTCCCACAGACCTTAGTTTTACTCTTCCACCACTTTTTCTAGATTAAAGGATTTAACTTGAAACAAATTTAATTTGATATGAAATGTAAGATTTGGTATCAGTTGTCTTTTTTCTAGATTACAAGATTTAACTTGAAACAAAATAAATTTGATATGAAAGGTAAGATTTGGTATCAGTTCTTGAAACAAAATAAAGATTGATATGATAGGTAAGATTTGATCTCAGTTAAATAACTGTGCTATTGAACATGATAGAGGAGATCATGGAACAAAGTATTGCATATATTCACTTATGAGATTCCACTTACATAGTTCGTAATGTGAGCTGGTGTATAACATGTTGATCCACCAAGTGAATATTGAGCTGGTGTATAACATGTTGATCCACCAAGTGAATATAGACTGTACAAACAACTCCGGCACTAAATTTAGGGAACAAATAGTCTTATTTTAGATTTATATGATTATTATCTTTCACAAAAAAGAATGTTGATAATGGCACTTAAATGATCTTTTTTCCTTTTTCTCTTGAGAATGGTGTAGTATTACGTTATCGGAGTTCCACATTGGAATTGTTAGGGTGAATAGTATGGAACATGAAATATAAAAGATAAGTGTGTGATGCTTTACAACATACTTACCTGGATGGGGTCAATGGGTGATCAATAAGGCCCATGGCCTAGTCAAGTGACTTCCATTGCACTTAGGAGGGGTGCTAGCCTAAGGTCTACCCAAGTGGTGGAACCTACATCATAATTTGTTGCTGTGGTGGCCTGCGTTCGCGCGGCCATCTCTCAATTGAGTTTCAAGCTTTTTTAAAGTTAAACCTGCGTTCGTGCGGCCACCTCTCAATTGAGTTTCAAGCTTTTTTTAAAGGTAAAAATGTGTTTTTTTTTTTGAGGTGGTGTGTTTCTTAGAAATTGTACATTGTATTGCTTTTTGTCATTTGCATGATTATTTAGTCCACAAATGGAGATTTCTACGTTGGTGATGCTTGGCAAATTGGAGACTTTGGAATAGTGTAAAGTATGTTGAAGGTTGTTGGCAAATTGGGGACATTGTATTGCTCTTTGTCATTTGCATGATTATTCAACTTTTCTTTTTTAATTTCTTCAAACAAAAATAAACAGAACACTAAGCAAAATGTTATCTGTCTTTTATAAGTTCCAAATTTTAATCAATCGATGTGCATCTTTTTTATCTTTTAAAATGACGCAGTTGGATTCAAATGATGACATAATTAACAAAATAGTTATGACCAATCTCTTGCCTTCGTAACTCTCTTTCAATTACTATCCCCTAATTTCTTATGCAAGTTCGTAACCAAAAGGGTTTTATTGAATCTTAACTCCTATATCACAAACGAATAATTCAATATGTCTAAAGTAATTTTTGATTGAACAATTAAATTATGCCGAGTTTCAAAAGTTAGGGTTAATAGTCAATCTCAACTTGGAATCTATTCATGCATTCGTCAACATATAAAAGACATTGAATGCAAATTTAACTGAATAATACTCGGATTACAATTTTATAGAATAATACTCAACAATTA